GGGATTTTTTTGGTGAATTTTGGAGAAATTTTTGGGGATTTTTTTGGGGATTTTGAGGAAAATTTTTAGGGATTTTTGTGGAATTTTGGGAAATTTTTTGTGATTTTTTTGGGGAATTTTGGGGTAATATTTTGGGGAAAAATTTTGGATTTTTTGGGAGAAATTTTTGGAGAATTTTGAGGGAATTTTTGGGTCTTAATTTTGAAATTTTGGGGGAATTTTTGAGGGAATTTTTGTGGATTTTGAGTGAATTTTTTTGGGTGAATTTTTGGGGAAATTTTGGGGGTTTTTTTTCTGGAATTTTTTTGGGGGAAAATGTTTAAAAAATTTTGGGGCATTTTGGGGGAAATTGGGGAATTTTTTTTTTGAATTTTTGAGGGAAATTTTCGGGAATTTTGGGGGAATTTTGGGGATTTTTTGGGATCTGGGAGCTGGGACTGGGCTGAACTGGTCTGGACTGGTCTGAACTGGTCTGAACTGGTTTAAGCTGGACTGGACTGGTCTAAACTGGTTTTGACTGGGCTGGACTGGTCTGGACTGGTTTAAACTGGTGTGGACTGGTCCAAACTGGTCTAAACTGGTCTGGACTGGGAATGCTGGGGCTGGGACTGGTCTGAACTGGTTTGGACTGGTCTGGACTGGTCTAAACTGGTCTGGACTGGGAATGGTGGAGCTGGGACTGGTCCTAAACTGGTTTTTACTGGTTTAAGATGGGCTGGACTGGTCTAAACTGGTTTGGACTGGTCTGAACTGGGAATGCTGGGAATGGGACTGGTCTAAACTGGTCTGGACTGGTTTAAACTGGGCTGGACTGGTCTAAACTGGTCTGGACTGGGAATACTGGAGCTGGGACTGGTCTAAACTGGTCTAAACTGGTCTGGACTGGTCTAAACTGGGAATGCTGGGCTGGACTGGTTCTAAACTGGTTTGAACTGGTCTAGACTGGTCTAAACTGGTTTAAGCTGGGCTGGACTGGTTTGGACTGGGAATGCTGGGGCTGGGACTGGTCGAAACTGGTTTGTACTGGTCTGGACTGGTCTGGACTGGGAATGCCAGAGCTGGGACTGGTCCTAAACTGGTCTGAACTGGTCTGAACTGGGCTGGACTGGTTTAAGCTGGGCTGGACTGGTTTGGACTGGTCTAAACTGGTTTAAACTGGGAATGCTGGAGCTGAGACTGGTCTAAACTGGTTTTAACTGGTCTGAACTGGTCGAACTGGTCTGAACTGGGAATGGTGGGGCTGGAATGGTCTAAACTGGTTTGGACTGGTCTAAACTGGGCTGAACTGGTCTGGACTGGTCTAAACTGGTTTAAACTGGGAATGCTGGGGCTGGGACTGGTCCTAAACTGGTTTTTACTGGTTTAAGCTGGGCTGGAGTGGTCTAAACTGGTTTGAACTGGTCTGGACTGGTTTAAACTGGGAATGTGGGAGCTGGGACTGGTCCTAAACTGGTTTTTACTGGTTTAAGCTGGGCTGGAGTGGTCTAAACTGGTTTGAACTGGTCTGGACTGGTTTAAACTGGGAATTTGGGAGCTGGGACTGGAAACTGGGAATGCTGGGGCTGGGACTGGTCCTAAACTGGTTTTTACTGGTTTAAGCTGGGCTGGAGTGGTCTAAACTGGTTTGAACTGGTCTGGACTGGTTTAAACTGGGAATGTTGGAGCTGGGACTGGTTCTAAACTGGTCTGGGCTGGACTAAACTGGTCCGAACTGGTTTAAACTGGTTTAAACTGGTCTAAACTGGGATTGCCAGGCCCAGCCCCCCCCTCCCCAAATTCGGGATTTTTGGGCCCAAAATTCCCCAAAATTCCCCAAATTCCCCCCAAAATTCCCCCCAAAATCCAGGCCGGGCTTGGTTAAAATTGAGTTTAAACCCAAAATCCCCGAAATTCAACCCAAAATTTAACTTAAAGTTCAAAAAAATTTAAAAATGGCCCAAAATTGCCCAAAATTTAAGAAATTCACCCCAAAATTCATAAAACTTACCCCAAATCTTCTCAGGTGAGCTCAGCTCAGGTGAGGCTTTGTTAGAACCGAGTTTGAACCCAAAATCCTCTAAATTCAACCCAAAACGGAGCCAAAAGTTACAAAAATTAAAAAAAATTGCCCAAAATTGCCCAAAATCCTCAAAATTCAGCCCAAAAATCACAAAACTCACCCAAAATCTTCTCAGGTGAACTCAAGCAAGGTGAGGCTTTGTAAAAATTGAGTTTAAACCCAAAATCCTCTAAATTCACCCCAAAACTGAGCCTAAAGTTCAAAAAATTTAAAAAAAACACTAAAATTGCCCAAAATTGCCCAAAATTTAAGAAATTTGCATCAAATTTGCTCAGGTGAGCTCAGACCAGGTGAGGCTTCATCAAAACTGAGTTTAAACCCAAAATCCACTTAATTCACCCCAACCTAAAACTGAGCTTAAAATTCTAAAATCAGCCCAAAAATCACTAAAATAACCCCAAATTGCCCAAAATCACAGAAATTTGCCCCAAATCTTCTCAGGTGAGTCCAGATCAGGTGAGGCTTTGTTAAAAATGAGATTTAACCCAAAATCCTCTAAATTCAACCCAAAACAGAACCAAAAAATGCAAAAAAAAATTTAAAAATCACTAAAATAACCCCAAATTGCCCAAAATCACAGAAATTTGCCCCAAATCTTCTCAGGTGAGTCCAGATCAGGTGAGGCTTTGTTAAAAATGAGATTTAACCCAAAAATCTTTAAATTCACCCCAAACCTGAGCCTAAAGATGGGAAAATGCAAAAAAACCCCGCGAAAATCGCCCCCAAATTGCCCAAAATCGCCCAAATTTGCCCCAAATCCCCACCTGGGATCGGCCGCTCTCACCTATGGGGGGGTGGGCGTGGCCTGGTGACGTCACCGCTGACGTCACTCCCAGACGGGGCGGGGCCAGTGGGAAACCGCGGTTTCCTTTTTTTGGGGTTTTTTGTGGTTTTTTGGGGGTTTCGGTTCTCACGGGGGGGAGGGGGCGGGGCTATGCTAATGAGGGGGGTCAGTCATGGGTAAGCCACGCCCACCGAGAGATTTCCCGCCATTTTCGGCCATTTTGGATTTGATTTTTTGGGTTTTTTTTTAATTTTTAAATTTTCTCTATTTTATTAAAATTTTTTTTTGTTTTTTCCTTTTTTTCTCCTAAGTGGGCGTGGCCTCTTTATGCTAATTAGGGCGGCTTTCCACGCCCACTCCCCTCAGAAATTTCCCGCCATTTTCTCGTGGGATTTTCGGCCATTTTGGATCCAGCGTCGGCCATTTTGAATCCGATTTTCCGCCATCTTGGATCCGCCATTTTGGATACCTGGTCGGCCATCTTGGGTCCGCCATTTTGGATACCTGGTCGGCCATCTTGGATCAGATTTTTGGCCATCTTGGATCGGCCATTTTGGGTCAATTTCAGCCATTTTGGGTCCAATTTCGGCCATCTTGGATCGGCCATTTTGGATCCAACTTCAGCCATCTTGGATCGGCCATTTTGGATCCAGTGTCGGCCATTTTGGATTCAGTGTCGGCCATTTTGGATCCAATTTTGGCCATTTTGGATCGGCCATTTTGGGTCCAATTTCGGCCATTTTTTTGGGGTTTTTTTAATTTTTAATTTTTTTTCTATTTTATTAAAATTTTTTTTTCGTTTTTTCCTTTTTTTCTCCTAAGTGGGCGTGGCCTATTTATGCTAATTAGGGCGGCTTTCCACGCCCACCCCCCTCAGAAATTTCCCGCCATTTTCTCGTGGGATTTTCGGCCATTTTGGATCCAGCGTCGGCCATTTTGAATCCGATTTTCCGCCATCTTGGATCCGCCATTTTGGACACCTGGTCGGCCATCTTGGATCCGCCATTTTGGATACCTGGTCGGCCATCTTGGATCAGATTTTTGGCCATCTTGGATCGGCCATTTTGGGTCAATTTCAGCCATTTTGGGTCCAATTTCGGCCATCTTGGATCGGCCATTTTGGATCCAACTTCAGCCATCTTGGATCGGCCATTTTGGATCCAGTGTCGGCCATTTTGGATTCAGTGTCGGCCATTTTGGATCCAATTTTGGCCATTTTGGATCGGCCATTTTGGGTCCAATTTCGGCCATTTTGGATCGGCCATTTTGGATCCAGTGTCGGCCATTTTGGATTCAGTGTCGGACATCTTGGATCCAATTTATGGCCATTTTGGATCAGCCATTTTTGGCCCATTTTTGGTCCGATTTTTGGTCCGATTTTGGCCATTTTGGGTCCAATTTCCGCCATCTTGGATCGGCCATTTTGGGTCCAATTTCGGCCATCTTGGATCAGCCACTTTGGATCCAATGTCCGCCATTTTGGCTCTGATTTCGGCCATCTTGGATCAGATTTTAGGTCAAAATTTGGGAATTTTTGGGGCAAATTTGATGCTTTTCGGGTGGGATTTTTTCTCCAATGTGGGCGTGGCCTAACTATGCAAATCCCCCGCAGACCCCGCCCGCTCCCCCAGCATTTTCCCCATTGTTTTCCTGTGAGGGTTTCGGCCATCTTGGATGAAATTTCAGCCATTTTGGGTCCAATTTTTGGCCCTATTGGATCGGTTTTGGATTGGCCATTTTTGGCCCATTTTTGGGCCATTTTTGGTCCGATTTTGGCCATTTTGGGTCCAATTTCCGCCATCTTGGATCGGCCATTTTGGGTCCAATTTCGGCCATTTTGGATCGGCCGATTTTTATCCAATTTTTGGTCATTTTGGCTCAAATTTCAGCCATTTTGGGTCCAGTTTTGGATTGGTCACTTTGGATCCAATTTCGGCCATCTTGGACCCATTTTCAGCCATTTTGGGGCCAATTTCGGCCATCTTGGATCAGATTTTAGGTCAAAATTTGGGAATTTTTGGGGCAAATTTGATGCTTTTCGGGTGGGATTTTTTCTCCAATGTGGGCGTGGCCTAACTATGCAAATCCCCCGCAGACCCCGCCCGCTCCCCCAGCATTTTCCCCATTGTTTTCCTGTGAGGGTTTCGGCCATCTTGGATGAAATTTCAGCCATTTTGGGTCCAATTTTTGGCCCTATTGGATCGGCCATTTTGGCTCCATTTCGGCCATTTTGGATCCAATCTCGGCCATCTTAGAACGGCCATCTTGGATCCAACATTCAGCCATTTTGGATCCAGTTTTGGCCATCTTGGATCGGCCATTTTGGATCTAATTTCAGCCATTTTGGACCCGTTTTCAGCCATTTTGGGTCCAATTTCGGCCATCTTGGATCAGCCCCCTCGTATCAAACGTCCGCCATTTTGGCTCTGATTTCGGCCATCTTGGATCAAATTTTACAGCAAAATTTGGGGTTTTTTGGGGCAAATTTGATGCTTTTCGGGTAGGATTTTTTTCTCCAGCGTGGGCGTGGCCTAACTATGCAAATCCCCCCGATTTCGCAGACCCCGCCCGCTCCCCCAGCGTTTTCCCGCTGCTCTCCTGCGACGGCGACTGCGAGGGCCAGGTGAGCTTCGGCTGCCTGGCCGACGGCTTCTTCCCGCAGCCCGCCCAGATCACCTGGGTGGGCGTGGCCTCGGACGCCGCCCGGAACTTTCCGGAAGTCCAGACGGGCGGCGGCCGCTACGGGCGGAGCTCCCAGGTGACCACGAGCGCGGACGCGGCCAAGGAGGGGGACTTCCGGTGCCAGGTGGAGCATTATGGGAAGAAGGTGGAGCTGGAGATCCCGGATGGTGAGGACACACCTGGGGACACACCTGGGGGGACCCGTTTTCAGCCATTTTGGGGCCAATTTCGGCCATCTTGGATCGGCCATTTTGGATCCAATGTCCGCCATTTTGGCTCTGATTTCGGCCATCTTGGATCAGGTTTTTCGGCCATCTTGGATCAAGTTTTACAGCAAAATTTGGGATTTTTTGGGGCAAATTTGATGCTTTTCGGGTAGGATTTTTTTCTCCAGCGTGGGCGTGGCCTAACTATGCAAATCCCCCCGATTTCGCAGACCCCGCCCGCTCCCCCAGCGTTTTCCCGCTGCTCTCCTGCGACGGCGACTGCGAGGGCCAGGTGAGCTTCGGAATTTTACAGCAAAATTTGGGGTTTTTTGGGGCAAATTTGATGCTTTTTGGGTAGGATTTTTTCCCCCCAGCGTGGGCGTGGCCTAACTATGCAAATCCCCCCGATTTCGCAGACCCCGCCCGCTCCCCCAGCGTTTTCCCGCTGCTCTCCTGCGACGGCGACTGCGAGGGCCAGGTGAGCTTCAGGATTTTTTTCTCCAGCGTGGGCGTGGCCTAACTATGCAAATCCCCCCGATTTCGCAGACCCCGCCCGCTCCCCCAGCGTTTTCCCGCTGCTCTCCTGCGACTGCGAGGGCCAGGTGAGCTTCGGCTGCCTGGCCGACGGCTTCTTCCCGCAGCCCGCCCAGATCACCTGGGTGGGCGTGGCCTCGGACGCCGCCCGGAACTTTCCGGAAGTCCAGACGGGCGGCGGCCGCTACGGGCGGAGCTCCCAGGTGACCACGAGCGCGGACGCGGCCAAGGAGGGGGACTTCCGGTGCCAGGTGGAGCATTATGGGAAGAAGGTGGAGCTGGAGATCCCGGATGGTGAGGACACACCTGGGGACACACCTGGGGGGAGTTTTGGGACACCTGGGTGGAGTTTTGGGCCCGTTCAGGACAAATTTCCACCATTTTGGATCCAATTTTGGCCATTTTGTGTCAAATTTCGGCCATTTTGGATTTAATTTTACCTATTTTGGATGCAATTTTGCCATTTTGGATCCAATTTCGGCCATTTTAGATTTAATTTCAGCCATTTTGGATCCAATTTTGACCATTTTGGGTTAAATTTCGGCCATTTTGGATTTAATTTTGGCCATTTTGGATTTAATTTCGGCCATTTTGGATCCAATTTTGGCCATTTTGGGTCAAATTTCGGCGCAATTTTGCCATTTTGGATCCAATTTCGGCCATTTTAGATTTAATTTCAGCCATTTTGGATCCAATTTTGACCATTTTGGGTTAAATTTCGGCCATTTTGGATTTAATTTTACCTATTTTGGATCCAATTTCCGCCATTTTGGATCCAATTTTGGCCATTTTGGATTTAATTTCGGTCATTTTGAGGTCCAATTTTGGCCATTTTGGATCCAATTTTGGCCATTTTGGATCCAATTTTGACCATTTTGGGTTAAATTTCGGCCATTTTGGATTTAATTTAAGCCATTTTGGATCCAGTTTTGGCCATTTGTGGTCAAATTTCAGCCATGTTGGATTTAATTTTGACCATTTTGGATTTAATTTCCACCATTTTGATCCAATTTCGGCCATCTTGGATAGGCCATTTTCAGCCATTTTGAATCCACAGTTTTGGATCCAATTTTGGCCATTTTGGGTCAAATATCAGCAATTTTTGATCGATTTTTGGCCATTTTGTGTCAAATTTTGGCCATTTTGGATTTAATTTCAGCCATTTTGAATCAAATTTCAGCCATCTTGGATCCATTTTCATCCATTTTACATCCATTTTTGGTTGATTTTCGGCCATTTTGGATCCAATTTTGGCCATTTTGGGTCAAATTTCGGCATTTTGGATTTAATTTCGGCCATTTTGGATTTAATTTTGGCCATTTTGGATTTAATTTCCACCATTTTGGATCCAATTTCAACCATCTTGGATTGGTCATTTTGGATTTAATCTCAGCCATTTTTGGATCCAATTTTGGCCATTTTGATCCAATTTCAGCCATCTTGGATCAGCCATTTTGGATCCAATTTCAGCTACTTTGGGTTGGCCATTTTGGATCATTTTTTGGCTGTCTTGGATCCAATTTCAGCCATTTTGGATCCATTGTCAGCCATCTTGGCTCCATTTTCAGCCTTTTTGGATTGGCCACTTTGGATCAATTTTCGGCCATCTTGAATGAGATTTTCAGCCATCTTGCCTTGATTTCTGCCGGAATTTTTTTCGTTTTTCTGCTGGGATTTTTGGGTCATCTGGATGGGATTTTTTGGGTCCACTTTGGTGAATTTTTGGGTCACCTGGATGGGATTTTTGGGTCCACCTGGGTGAATTTTTGGGTCACCTGGACGGGATTTTTGGGCTTACCTGGCTGGGATTTTTTGGGTCTACTTTGGTGAATTTCTGGGAATACCTGGATGGGATTTTTGGGTCCACCTGGGTGAATTTTTGGGGTCACCTGGATGGGATTTTTTGGGCTCACCTGGGTGAATTTTTGGGATCACCTGGATGGGATTTTTTGGGTCCACTTTGGTGAATTTTTGGGTCACCTGGATGGAATTTTTGGGACACCTGGATGGGATTTTTGGGTCCACCTGGGTGAATTTTTGGGAACACCTGGATGGGATTTTTGGGTCAACCTGGGTGAATTTTTGGGGTCACCTGGACGGGATTTTTGGGCTCACCTGGCTGGGATTTTTTGGGTCCACTTTGGTGAATTTTTGGGTCACCTGGCTGGGATTTTTTGGGCTCACCTGGGTGAATTTTTGGGTCACATAAATGGGATTTTTGGGTCCACCTGGGTGAATTTTTGGGTCACCTGAACGGGATTTTTGTGCTCACTTGTCCCCACCAGACTCCATATGCCCCACCAACCGCACCCCGAACTTCTCCGTGTCCCTCCTGAGCGACCCCAACCAATCCCACCCCGAGGACCCCGAGGTCCACCTGCTCTGCCAGGTGCGTGGGCGTGGCGCCGGCGACGCCCATCTCACCTGGTTGGTCAACGGTGACGTCGCCCAGATTGGGGAGGAGCCCTCCAGCTGCGAAGAGGGCGGGGCCGGCCAGGTGACGCTGAGCGGCCGCGCCAACGTCAGCCGGGAATTGTGGGAGTTGGGCGCCACCTTCACCTGCCAGGTTAGCCACGCCCACCTGGACACGCCCCTGCAGGCCAACATCAGCACCTTCTGTAAATGTGAGTGGGAACTGGGGGGGGTTTTGGGGGATTTTGGGCGGTTTTAATGAAAAATTAGGATTTTTTTTTTTGAAATATTGATGGGATTTGGGTGAAATTTCACTAAATTTTCAGGTTTGTTTTAAAATGAAAATGAAGGGAATTTGTAGAAATTTTGATATTTTTAAAAAATATCAATTTTTTTAAAATTAGACGGAATTTTAATTTTAAAAACAACGCCCAGGAATTTTTTATTTACTAAAATCGCTGGGTTTTCACCCAATTTTTTTTTTTCCATATCCCATTTTATTTTCTCCAACATAAAATCCTCCTCCAACCTCAATTCTCTTCAAAAAATCCTCATGAAATCCCAATTTTTACCCCAAAATTTCCATTTTTTTAGTTAAGAAATCCCTTTTTTTTACCAAAATTCCCTTTTTTTCACCCAAATTTTTTCCCAGTCCCAAATTTCATCTCCAACCTCAATCTCCTCTAAAAAACCCTCAGAAAATCCCATTTTTTTTCCAAAAATCCCTAAAAAAATCACAATTTTTTGCTTAAAAATCCCATTTTTTTACCAAAATTCCCGTTTTTTCACCCAATCTTTTCCACATCCCAAATTTCATCTCCAACCTCAATCTCCTCTACAAAACCCTCTGAAAATCCCAATTTTGTCACAAAATACCCTCAAAAATCCCTAAAAAATCCAATTTTTCGCTTAAAAATCCCATTTTTTTACCAAATTTCCCGTTTTTTAACCCAATTTTTTTCCACATCCCAATTTTATCTCCAACCTCAATTTCCTCTAAAAATCCCTTAAAAATTCCCAATTTTTTCACAAAAAATCCCTAAAAAATCCCATTTTTTAGCTAAAAATCACATTTTTTTACCAAAATTCCCATTTTTTCACCCAATTTTTTCCACATCCCAAATTTCAACTCCAACCTCTGTCTCCTCTAAAAAACCCTTCAAAAATCTCCTTTTTTTAAAAAAATCCCCCAAAAATCCCTAAAAAATCCAATTTTTTGCTTAAAAATCTCAATTTTTTACTAAAATTCACATTTTTTCACCCAAATTTTTTCCCAGTCCCAATTTTATCTCCAACCTCAATTTCCTCTAAAAATCCCTTAAAAATTCCCAATTTTTTCACAAAAATTCCCATATTTTAGCTAAAAAATCCCATTTTTTTACCAAAATCTCCGTTTTTTCACCCAAAATTTTTGGATTTTTTCGCCAGCTCCCGTCCCCACGCCCTCGGTGTCGGTGCTGCCGCCCTCCCTGCAGGACCTCTACCTGTCCACCAGCCCCAACCTCACCTGCGTGGCCACCAACCTGAAATCGCCGCGGGCCAAATTCACCTGGAGCCGCTCCCCGCCCGGGGGCGGGGCCTCGGCGGGCGTGGCCACTTCCGGCCCCGCCCTCCGCCTGCCCAACGGCTTCTACGAGCTCCGGAACTTTCTGGGGGTCTGCGCCGAGGACTGGAACTCCGGCGACACCTTCACCTGCGCCGTGGCCGTGGAGGAGCTGGGGCCCGAGCCGCTGACGGCCAGCGCCAGGAAGGACACAGGTGGGTTTTGGGGTGAAAAACGGGGATTTTGGGGGTTTGGGGTGAAAAAAGGGGATTTTGGCATTTTTTTGGGATTTTTTTGGGATTTTTTCAGGGAAAATTTGGGGGGTTTTAGGTGATTTATCCTGGTTTTAAGATTTTTTTTGGGGGGGTTTTAGGTGATTTTTTCTGATTTTTAAGATTTTTTTTTGAGGTTTTTAGGTGATTTTTTTCTGGATTTTTACATGATTTTTGTCTGATTTTTAAGATGATTTTTTTCGGGTTTTTAGGTGATTTTTTTCCCCTGGTTTTTAGGTGATTTTTTTCTGGGCTTTAGGTAGTTAATTATGGTTTTGAAGGTGATTTTTTTCTGATTTTTAGGTGATTTTTTCTGGTTTTTAAGAGATTTTTTTTCTGATTTTAAACATGATTTTTTCTGGTTTTTAGATGATTTTTTTTCTGGTTTTAGGTGATTTTTTTCTGCTTTTTTTCGTGATTATTTTCAAGGTTTTCAAGGTGATTTTTTCTGATTTTTAGGTGATTTTTTCCTGATTTTTAAGATTATTTTTTCTGATTTTTAGGCTATTTTTCCCAGGTTTTTAAGATTTTTTTTCTGGTTTTTAGGTGATTTTTTTCTGGTTTTAAGGTGATTTTTTTCTGGTTTTGGGTCAGAATTTGGCATTTTAAGGACGTTAGTCCTGGTTTTAACGTTTGGGGTCAGATCAGGTTCAGCATCAAAAGGTCAGTTGAATTTTGGGGTGAAAAACGGCGATTTTGGGACTTTCGGGGATTTTAAAAATTTCTTAGGGAATTTTTGGGTGAAAATTTTGGGGTTTTAGGTGATTTTTTTTCTGGTTTTGGGGCCAGAGTTCCCAGTTTGGGGATGGTCCAGGTCACCTGGGTCTTACTGGGAGGTCACTGGTTTATACTGGGAGGTTACTGGTCCATACTGGTATTTTCTGATTTTTAGGTGATTTTTTCTGGATTTTAGGGGATTTTTTCCCCAGGTTTTAAGGTGATTTTTTTCTGATTTTTATGTGATTTTTTCCTGCATTTTATGTGATTTTTTTCTGGTTTTTAAGATGATTTTTTTCTGATTTTTCAGTGATTTTTTTTTTCCAGGTTTTTAAGGTGATTTTTTCTGATTTTTAAGTGATTTTTTTTCTGATTTTTAGGAGTCTAATTCTGATTTTTAGGTGATTTTTTTTGGTTTTAAGGTGATTTTTTCTGATTTTTAAGTGATTTTTTTTCTGATTTTTAGGAGTCTAATTCTGATTTTTAGGTGATTTTTTTTGGTTTTAAGGTGATTTTTTCTGATTTTTAAGATTATTTTTTCGGGTTTTTAGGTGATTTTTTCCTGGTATTTAGGTGATTTTTTGGGGGGGTTTAGGTGACTTTTTCTGGTTTTTAGGTGATTTTTTCTGGGTTTTTAGGTGATTTTTTTTTAGGTGATTTTTTCCTGATTTTTAGGTGATTTTTTCCAGATTTTAATGTGATTTTTTTGGGGGTTTTAGGGGATTTTTTCCAGATTTTTAAGATTATTTTTTCTGATTTTTAGGTGATTTTTTTCTGCATTTTAGGTGATTTTTTCCCCAGGTTTTTAAAATTATTTTTTCTGATTTTTAGGTGATTTTTTTCTGGGTTTTTAAGATGATTTTTTCTGTTTTTTCTGTGATTTTTTCTGGTTTTAGGTGTTTTTTTTCCCCTGTTTTTAGGTGATTTTTTCTGGTTTAAAGGTGTTTTTTTTTCTGGTTTTGGGGGGAATTTGAGGGATTTTGGGTCAAGATTTGGGGATTTAAGGAGGTTAATTCCGGTTTTTAGGAAGTTAGGCCTGGTTTTAGGGTGATTTTTCCCGGTTTTGGGATTCCCAGTTCAGGACTGGAATTCCCAGTTTAGGACTGGGTCGGTGCCACCTGGGTCCTACTGGGACATCACTGGGAAGTTACTGGTCTATACTGGGAGGTTACTGGGAGGTTACTGGTCCATACTGGTCCATACTGGTCTATACTGGGAGGTTACTGGGAGGTTCCTGGTCCATACTGGTCCATACTGGTCTATACTGGTCTATACTGGGAGGTTACTGGTCTGCAGTGGTTGGTTACTGGTCTATACTGGGAGGTTACTGGGAGGTTCCTGATCTATACTGGGAGGTCACTGGCCCATACTGGTCCATACTGGTTCATACTGGTCTATACTGGTCGGTCACTGGTCTATACTGGGAGGATCTCAAAGACCCAACTGGTCCTTACTGGAAGGGCCAATTGGTCAAACTGGGAATGGTTCTTCAAACTGGGAGGTCAAACTGGGAATGGCTCCTCAAACTGGGAAACCAAACTGGGAATGGTGAACCCAACTGGGAACCCAAACTGGGAATGGTTCCGCAAACTGGGAACCCAACTGGGAATGGTTCTT